ACACGTATCGGTTCAGTCAACTCCCTGTTCACAATGAGCCTAGTGGTACACTCTTGGTACGCCCCATTTTAACCCCGTCCAAAATACGCTCGCCCACATTCACGTGCTTTAAAACATCAAAAAGGACATCGTGCTTAACTCGATCGAAAGCCTTATCTAGGTCCAGTTGAAGCATGGCAACTTGGCCCATGCCATCGTCACACGCCTCCAAAACAGTTCGGGCAACGTGCACATTCGTCAAAATAGATCGACCCTGTATTCCACAGGTCTGATGATCTCCAATGAGCTGGCAGGCAACACTCTGGAACCTCCTCGCTAGGATTTTAGCAAACATCTTGTAATCTGCATTACACAGAGTTATCGGGCGGAAACCAGTGACTTGACGTAGTTTCGCAACGTCATCGCTTTTGGGAATTAACACAGTGCATGGACGTGAAAAATACGGCGGCCGTACTTTCCTTTCGTATGCCTTACAAATGACTTCTAAAAAAAGCGGAGCGATTACGCTCTTGTATTTCTTATAAAATTCGGCGCATAGCCCGTCCGGTCCTGGCGTTTTCGATCTCGGCAAATCGTCTATTGCTCTCTCGACCTCTTGAAGAGTGATCGGCTCTGTGAGGTTTTCCTTCTCCTCTTCCGTTAGTTGCGGCAGGGACTCTAGAAGTTTTCCACACATAGGGTCCTGCCTTCCTTTAACTTGGGTTTCAAAAACTTGCCTATAGTGTGCGACAAAAGCCTGCTCAATACTACTGGGGCTCGTGTTAATCACTCCGTTGTACTCGATTTCGCCAATTTCGTTGCGAAGCGCGAACCTTTTCTCATCCGCCAAAGACCGTTTAGTAGGCTGTTCTCCCATCAAGTACTTCTCTGATCGAGCCCGAACAATGGCTCCGCGGTAACGCTCTTGATGAAAATGCGCCAGGCGTTGCTTAACCGTTTCCAAATCTTTAAGAGCTGTGCCGGGTAGCTCACACTCAGCTCTTGACAGAGCTTGCAAATCTTCGATTAAGCCACGTTCGTCGCAACGCGCCTCGTACGCTAAAATCGACGACCTTTCGATAGCGAGCATCTTCACTTCCTGTTTGATGAGCTCCCATGTCTCGAATATATCGTCCCTTGCGGTTTTAAAAAACGTTTTGAAGACGTTAGTTACCGCTGCAAGAAAACTTTCATCGTCAAGCAGTTTTGTGTTAAGCTTCCACAGATTCCAGTTAAACTTGGCCTTGGGCGGCGCTTTTTCGCCGATCGTTGTCGAAATCATGCAATGATCCGAAAAAAACACTGGTGTGACGCGATACTTTCTTAACATTGCTGCCGCGGAGGCCGATACGTATACTCTATCGAGGCGCGCATGAGACGACGCTTGGAAATGGGTGAAACGAATCTCGCTCGTTTCATTTGTCACCGTTCTGGCGTCAACCAAGTCAAAGTCTTCAACCAGTTCGCTTAAAACTTGCGCACTCTTGTCGCTGCTCCGCCTCAGGGGCGTCCTGTCTGCTGCCCTTACAACGCAGTTAAAATCGCCCAACAACGCAATCGTTTTATCACATTCTAGAAAACGGCGTACGCCAATAAAAAAGGAAACACGGTCTTTAACCGTACTAGGCGCATACACACAAACAATTCGCCACTGAAAAGACGCCAAGGAAAAATCGCACATGATGAACCGCCCTTCCGTGTCGGTGGTTACAGCTAACTCCGACAAGGGCAGGGACTTTTTAAGAAAAAGAAAACATCCGGCAGAAAAACCAACCGCGTGGGTGACACAAATTTCGTCCGACTGCAGAAAAGGCCTAAGCGCACTAGCAAGCTGTTCCTCCTCAGCCATTTTAGTCTCTTGCACCGCTAAGAAATCGGGTTTCTCTTTAAGCAGCAAACGCTGCAATTGGTATTGTTTTTTCCTGGCGCTCAAACCTCGAACATTTAGCGATGCGACCGTTATTGCTGGTTGGAACGTACAAATCATGCGTTTTGCTGTAGCACTTGCCTTGGCATTCGGACGTCAGTCTTTGTAACCAGGCGTTAGCCGCCTTACTTGCTGTTGAGTCGCCTCCGGTCATCTGGGGTTAAGGTGGGCGTGGGCTGGAAACGCCCCTTCTTTGTCCTCTCCATCCAAGGGTTGGGCCTGGGTGTCATGCCCGGTGTCGATGGAGGGTTCTCGTCGAGGCCACGCTTGATGGACTCGGTGGTTTCGTCCATAGTGTCGTGACCTTCGGAAGGCGCCTTCTCGGAAGTCGGGGGGGAGGCCTGGCGTGGGGCTACGGTCTTCTCCATTGGCGTCGCCGTGGGAGGGGGTGCCGCGCTGCCTGGTTCAGGAAGGCCACCAGCCACCTCCTTCTTGTCCTTTACAGGCGAGACTTCCGTCGAGCCGTCCGCTCCAACAGGATGGCTGCAGGGCTCACCAGACGGTGAAGCTTCGTCTTGTTGTCCCTGAGCGGAGCGCTCAGCCTCGTCGATATCCATGGTCAGGGGCGAAAGGTCTTCCGCCGCCGCTCCACCAGTTACTCGGGCGTAGGTCTTTACGCACTCCTCTTTCTCGTGGCCGAAACGTGAGCACACCGAGCACTTAGGCACGCGGCAGTCGCGCCTGATGTGCCCGGCACGCTTACAGCGCAGGCAGACCGGCGCCCTCCCTGGGATTACGATAAGGACGTTCGCCCCCTGAAGCTGCAGCTGGTGAGGCATTCCGTCGGGCGTGACGCCGCTCTTCAGCGTCATGCGCGCCACCCGGGTAGTCGACTCGATGCCCTCGAATCCCTCGACGCGCCACTTCTCACGTGCGACTTCTATAACCTTGCCGTAGGGTTCCAAAGACTTGCTCACCGCGTCGTCCGTCAGATGACACGGGACCCAATGGAGGCGTAGACGGACTTCCGTGCTGCTGGGGTCGATGACCACACACCTCAGGTCCTTCACCTTCAACTCCTTGGAGTCGATGAGCCGCTTCTTGGCTTCCGGCGTTCGCAGCGTGGCTAACCAGACGTGGTTCATCTGGAAAGCACCGAGCGCCACAATCTCGGACAGGACGGCGCACCGCTTCAGTTCTTGCCGGAAATCTTCAATACGATAGGGGCGGCCTCTCAAATCGCAGTGCAAAGGTACTGAATTTAAAATAGTTGCACCCATTGGGATGGGAGGCAACACCACCTTGTAGTCGTCGGTAGACGATGACGCAGCAAAAGTACCGCGGCCAACTGGGGCCGTTGTCGCAGCTCCGTTGGAGCCAGCCATCCTGCGACTGTTCTCGGCGAGTGCCAGAAGCAGAATCTATACTGACGAGGAGAGACGGGAATAGCGGGATGGGAACTCTACCGTAGCATGGACTTTTCAATATAGTAAAAAAAAAAAAATGTGGGGTAAAAAAATAATGATGCACTTCTTTCACACTAGGGTCGGCATGACGGACCGCCATGCGCGACCTCCAAATACTGCACAAACCCAACAACATAATCATATCAAAAGGTATGCCATCATCGTTACTCACATTCAAGAAACGTATAACAGTTGTTTCTTCAACGTGCGCTGGAGCACATCCCAAAAAAATACCGCATCCCAGCAAAAAATGAAAACGTGCTCGATGGTCTCAGGTTTCTTACATAAAATACAGTCTACCGACCACGGAACATCAATACCCTTTCCTTCAAGCCACACCTTAACGGGCAGTGTATTGGAATGCAGTTTAAAAAAGAACGTTTTAACGGAAGGGGGAACGCACATATTCTTCACTCGTTTGAGCACATCTTGGCCCCCGCTACAGACTACAGTTCTATACAACGGGTTTGGAAACAAACTTATCAATAAATCGCGTGTAAGTGTCTTCTTGCTAACAGCAGACAAATACTCAAAAGAAAAACGGGCAGACAAAAATAACACTGCGTCTACCACCTCCTTTTGATATCCCACTAATCTCTTAAGTTCGCCGCCATGGGACGAAACGAGAAAAGATGGTAAATGAGGAGACAATTTGGTTTGTATAAATGTACGTATGAAAGGATGCTCTTGGTCTCGTAGAAAAAAGAATCGCGACACAATCTGTTTGCAAAACAAATGCGAGAGACCGAGACCACCGTGACGAATCCGATGGAAAAGATTGTCTCTCCTCATCGGCTCCCACTTTGAATTCCAGATAAACGTGGCAAAAACACGGTGAAATTTCTGCACATTCAAGCGAGCACAATGAATGGCCTGCATCACGTACCATAATTTTGCAATGAGAAAAATATTACATACTGTCGCTCTGGCAAATATGGACAGCTCACGGTGCTTCCAACGGGAAGCGCGTCTGTCCAGGTCGGCGGCGACTCCCGACCAATAGCATTTGCTTTGCCTATAACATTTTAGTGGCACACCGAGGTAAGTGCACGGCACACGGTCCCAACACACCCCTTCAAACACCGAAGGGGTTGTGGCCCACTCTCCGTGCCAAAACCCACGGCACTTGCTCAAATTTATGGCTGCCCCTGTAGCCTTACAGAAGTCTCTTGCCAACTTCACAGCCGCGCTAATACTTGGCTTATCGCTACAAAAAACCGCGACATCATCTGCATAGCTCATGACTTTTATCTCCTCATTTTCCATCCGGAATCCGTGACATTGATTACTGTTCTGAACACTTAAACAAAAAAGTTCCAAATAGAGGTTAAACAATAACGGCGACAAGGGACATCCTTGTCTTACGGATGTTCGCACACGTATCGGTTCAGTCAATTCCCTGTTCACAATGAGCCTAGTGGTACACTCTTGGTACGCCATTTTAACCCCGTCCAAAATACGCTCGCCCACATTCACGTGCTTTAAAACATCAAAAAGGACATCGTGCTTAACACGATCGAAAGCCTTATCTAGGTCCAGTTGAAGCATGGCAACTTGGCCCATGCCATCGTCACATGCCTCCAAAACAGTTCGGGCAACGTGCACATTCGTCAAAATAGATCGACCCTGTATTCCACAGGTCTGATGATTTCCAATGAGCTGGCAGGCAACACTCTGGAACCTCCTCGCTAGGACTTCAGTCGAGCGGACGGCTCGACTGAAGTCTCGCTAGGCGAGACTTCAGTCGAGCCGTCCGCTCCAACAGGATGACTGCAGGGCTCACCAGACGGTGGAGCTTCGTCTTGTTGTCCCTGAGCGGAACGCTCAGCCTCGTCGATATCCATGGTCAGGGGCGAAAGGTCTTCCGCCGCCGCTCCACCAGTTACTCGGGCGTAGGTCTTTACGCACTCCTCCTTCTCGTGGCCGAAACGTGAGCACACCGAGCACTTAGGCACGCGGCAGTCGCGCCTGATGTGCCCGGCACGCTTACAGCGCAGGCAGACCGGCGCCCTCCCTGGGATTACGATAAGGACGTTCGCCCCCTGAAGCCGCAGCTGATGAGGCATTTCGTCGGGCGTGACGCCGCTCTTCAGCGTCATGCGCGCCAGCCGGGTAGTCGACTCGATGCCCTCGAATCCCTCGACGCGCCATTTCTCACGTGCGACTTCTATAACCTTGCCGTAGGGTTCCAAAAACTTGCTCACCGCGTCGTCGGTCACATGATACGGGACCCAATGGAGGCGTAGACGGACTTCCGTGCTGCTGGGGTCGATGACAACACATTTCAGGTCCTTCACCTTCAACTCTTTGCAGTCGATGAGCCGCTTCTTGGCTTCCGGCGTTCGCAGCGTGGCTAACCAGACGTGGTTCATCTGGAAAGCACCGAGCGCCACAATCTCGGACAGGACGGCGCACCGCTTCAGTTCTTGCCGGAAATCTTCAATACGATAGGGTCGGCCTCTCAAATCGCAGTGCAAAAGTACTGAATTTAAAATCGTTGCACCCGTTGGGATGGGAGGCAACACCACCTTGTAATCGTCGGCAGACGATGACGCAGCAAAAGTACCGCGGCCAACTGGGGCCGTTGTCGCAGCTCCGTTGGAGCCAGCCATCCTGCGACCGTTCTCGGCGAGTGCCAGAAGCAGAATTCATACTAACGAGGAGAGACGGGAATAGAGGGACGGGAACTCTACCCCCAGCATGGACTTTTCAATAAAGTAAAAAAAAAAAAAAAAAAACTGGGGGTAAAAAAAAAATTATGCTCCCCGTCGGGGAATCGAACCCCGGTCTCCCGCGTGACAGGCGGGGATACTGACCACTATACTAACGAGGATTTTTTTTCTTTATTCAGCGATTTGAAACAATAAAAACGACTACCCAGCACTTGTAGGCAGACGTACAATTAAAATTCTTTCATTTTCATCACATCATCAAATAGGTTTGCCCATTCCGGCAAACTCTCACTGTATTCATAGACACTCTTCACCTGGGTTACCAGTTCAATCAAAAATGCTCTTGCCCCTTTCGGTGGGTGCTCGGCATGTCTAACCGACATGCGAGATTTCCAGAGACTGAATATTGCTAGCAGCATAAAAAGATCATAGGGAACATTATCTTCACATTCAACAGCCAGAAAACGTATATTATAGGATGTTATGACAAATTCTTTCTTCAAAGTCCTCTTGAGAACATCCCATAGAAAAACAGCGTCCCAGCAGTACAAAAAGGAGTGCTCTACTGTCTCCGGGACTTTACATAGTGGGCAGTTAACGCCCCCAGGAACAGGCAAACCTCTTTCCCAAAGCCAGGTTTTTACCGGCAGCGTTTCAGAATGTAGGCGAAAGAAAAAAAGATTTTGCGGATGGAGGTATTCTCATCTTCTTAACTCGGCATAACACATCATTTCCAGGTCCGTTTTCATATAGTGAACGATAAACAGGTACAGGAAAAACACTTTCTAGTAGGTGTCGGTACAGGGTCCGCCTTTTAACGGTGGCCAAGTATTGCAAAGAGTACCGTACACTCAAAAAACAAAAGGCGGCAACTACTTCCTTAACAAACCCAACCATCTTTGCTGGGGAACCGATAACGGACGATACAAAAAATTCTGGCAAATGACTGGTAAGTTTCGTTTGAAACATGACTTGTAATAATGGGTGTCTCTGGTCTCTCATAAAAATAAAACGCGATACTAACTGCCTAAGAAACAAATGGGACAGCCCAAGACCGCCTTTGAGCGGACGAAGAAAAAGGTTATCTCGTCGCATCGGTTCTCCAGCACATTGCCAAATGAACAGCGCAAAAACTCTATGCATTTTTTGAATATTGCAGCGCGCACAGTATAGCACTTGCAAAACGTACCAAAGCTTCGCGGTTAAAAAAATATTACAAGCAGAAGCCCTGGTGAAAATAGACATGTTATGACCCCTCCATTTCCTCGTGCGTTCCTTCAAATCCTCTATCACACCTTCCCAGTAAGGCGAACTCTTTTCCATGTGATCCAGAGGAGCTCCCAGGTATCTACCCGGGGAACATGTCCAATGAATCCTCTCAAAAAAAAACCGGCGCATCGCCCCCCTGCCCGTACCATATCCCGAGACATTTATTTTTGTTAATACTAGCACCTGTAGCATCACAGAAACTTTTGCACAAATCTAAAACTTTTGAAATGCTAGTCTTGTCCTGACAGAAAAAAGCAACATCATCAGCATATGCCAGTACTTTCACTTCCACGTTCCCCATTGTGTACCCCTCAACGTGCTCGCTTCTGATAACACTTAGACAGAGCGGCTCAAGATAGAGACAAAATAATAAAGAAGACATGGGACACCCCTGTCGCACAGAAGATAGGACATTAATCTTTTCTGACAAGGAATTGTTAATGACAAGACGCGTCGTACAACCTGAGTACGCCATCTTGACTCCTTCAAAAACAATGTTACCTACATTGGCTTTATTTAGAACCTCCCACAGCACCCGGTGGCATACTCTGTCAAACGCCTTTTCCAGGTCAATTTGAATCATCGCTACCTGGCTTCCCTCTGCTCGAGAGTTTTCGAGAATAGTCCTCGCGACATGAATGTTCGTTTGAATTGCCCTCCCTTTAATTCCACAGGTCTGATGGTTCCCAACTAACTGGCATATAACGTGCTGAAGTCGTCTCGCCAACACCTTCGCAAAGATCTTATAGTCTACGTTGCTCAACGCAATAGGACGGTAGCTCGATACCTTACGTCTCTGGGCTTCGTCTTTAGACTTGGGGATCAGTATCGTGTGCGATTGTAGGAACGAGGGCGGAAGCGCTTGACGTCGATAAGCCTCACGGATTACTTCGAAAAGGAAGACCGACAACTGGTCTCTGAAATGCTGATAAAATTCAGCGCAGAGGCCGTCTGGACCTGGCGTTTTATGAGCAGCGAGGCTCTCAATGGCTCGGTCAATCTCCGACTTTGTGATGGGTTGTTCCATCCAGTCCTTTGTTTCTGTGGATAGCTCAGGTGCTATCTGGAGAAGACCTTTCAAGGCGGCTGTTTCTTTCGGCTCACCTTTGCCTCCAAAGAGGTTCGTGTAATGTGCAACAAATGCTTTGATTGATTGATTGGGGTTTAATGGCGCAGCAGCGACCAAGGCTATAATGCGCCAACAACTAGGACTATTGCTGAATCAAGGTTGAAGAGAAGAAAGAGCTATAGTAGCTTGTAATTTAATAAAACAATGATCATGAAAGTACAAGCGCATAAGATGTGGCAATGAATACGATGAACTATTAAAATTATAGCTGGTCCAGGAGTCTTATATCCTTAAGAAAGTTGAAAACACACTTGTGTGGAATCAACGGCTCATCACTGAGTAAAAGGGCGAGATGTAATGGTGTATGCTCTTGGTAAACCTTAGCAAAGTGTCTGTGGCGTTCTTGGTCATACAAAGGGCATACAAGTAAGATATGTAGGATGCTTAACGGAATGTAGCAGTGTTCACACTCCGGAGCATCCTCCCCACGCAAAAGATGCCCATGGGTTAGACGGGTATGACCAATTCGCAGTCGGCACAAAACCACCTCATAAAAACGCTCGCGGTGACGTGCACTCTCCCATTCCTGAAGTAGTGGTTTTACTGCGCGCAACTTATTGTTTATTTCTCGGTCCCATTCCTCTTGCCACTTGCGTCTTATGGAAAATTTCAGAACATGCCTATAGTCTCTGTAAGGTATTTTCCACAGGTCGACTTCTCGATCCTTAGCAGTACTTGCTGCTCTGTCAGCATCCTCATTTCCGGCAATTCCGACATGTGAAGGAACCCAGCATAGTATTATTTTCTTTTTCCGTTTTGCGGCTGAAATTAGCCTGTTCCTTATTTCTATTACGAGTGGATTGCGATCATTTCCCACTCTGGCAAGAGCTCGTAAAGCACTAAGTGAGTCGGTGTAAACAATTGACTTGTGAAGCTTTTGTTTAAGGATCTTATCTGTGGCGAGGAGTAAGCCATAGAGCTCTGCCGTAAAACTACAGGCACTGTCATTTATTCTCCGGACAAGCTGCATCCCAGGCCCGATCACTGCGCAACCCACAGAGGAATCAGTTTTACTACCATCAGTGTAAAAGCTTATAAAGTCGTGATACTGTACTTGGAGCTCAAGGAATTCTTGTCTCAGGACTTCGCGAGGAGTGTCCTTTTTGTTGAATTTCGTTAGCTCCAGTTCGCACTGAATGGGAACTAGGTCCCAAGGGGCTGCCGAACTCAAACACTGTACAACTGGAGGCAACACGTCCAGTCCTACAGACTCCGCAGAATTGCGAACCCTCATAGCAAGAGGTGGAACAACTGAAGGCTTGTTACTGAAGGTTCGCTCGTAGCGTATTCGTTCCATACAGTGTAAGGTTGGATGGTTAGGAACCGATCTAATTCGCATAAAATATGTGAAGCCCAGTTCAGATCTTCTTTTCTCTAGAGAGAGCTCGTTTGCTTCTGCGTATAGACTAAGAACAGGAGATGTGCGAAAAGCACCGGTAGCAAGCCGCAACCCCTGATGATGAACAGGGTCCAGCATTTTGAGAACCGATGTCCGGGCAGAACCATACACAATACAACCGTAATCAAGACGGGATCGAACGACCGACCGATAGATACGCAAGAGACAAAGACGGTCAGCACCCCAGGACACATGCGACAGGACCTTAAGTATATTAAGCGATTTAAAACATTTCATCTTCAGGCTCTTGACATGCGGAACAAAAGTCAATTTGGAATCAAATATAAGACCTAAAAACTTGTGTTCAGTTTTCACTGGGATAGGAACATCATACATAGTCAAAGAAGGTTCGTGCAAAACTCCGCGGCGACGTGAGAAACTCACACAGACGGTCTTCTCAGGAGAAAATTTAAAACCGTTGACATCAGCCCATTTGACCAAGTTGTTGATTGTGAGCTGGAGCCGACGTTCACATATGGATGGATTACAAGACGATACAGAAATCTGCAGATCATCGACGTACAGTGAGTAATGAACAGATGGAGCTATTGCGCGGACAATCGAGTTCATCTTCACAATAAAAAGAGTGACGCTAAGTACACCACCTTGAGGTACTCCATTTTGCTGCGAAAATTCTCTAGAAAAAGTTGTCCCAAGCTTCACGCGAAAAGTCCGGTTTTGAAGATAACTCTGAATGCCACTTAACATTCGGCCCTGTACACCTAAGCTGAACAGATCCTGCAGTATGCCATGGCGCCAGGTTGTATCAAATGCCTTTTCCAGGTCAAAAAAGACAGAGACACAATGCTGCTTATTTACAAATGCCTCTCGCACAACAGTCTCAAAACGAACTAGGTGGTCGACCGTGGATCGTCCTGAACGAAAGCCACATTGGTACCTGTCAAGAAGATTATTACTCTCCAAATAAAACATCAGCCTTCTGTTGATCATCCTTTCTAATGTCTTCGAAAGACAGCTAGTTAGTGCTATAGGCCTGAAGCTGGAGGCACAGGCAGGATCTTTTTCTGGCTTTAAAAGGGGGATAATAACGGCAGCCTTCCAGGACAATGGGAA